TATATATATATATATATATATATAAAAGTTTAAGAAAAAATAAGAAAAGGAAAAGTAAATGTAAATTGCACTTGATATATATATATATAAAGAGTAGAGAAGAACAAGCAGCAAGCAGAATCATAAAATTGGATATTAACTTTAAAAAAATGCAACAGACAAATAGATTTTCTTAATTCACTGAAAACACTAACAAAAGTGATGATGAGAAAACTCAAAATCGATGAGAACATAGGAAAACTACATTTAACTTTGTTCATTCATTTATTAATAAGTCTGGGCTCCACCACTGATTTGTTCATTCATTCATTAATAAGTCTGAGCTCCACCACTGATTTGCTGGGTTAGTCCATAGTCCTTGATCTCTCGTGCTTTGTTCAAGAGCATGTGACGAGCACTGTCCAATTGATCAGCACCAGGTGGGTGCTTCCCAGTCACATATCCATATATCCATGCCAACACAGTGATAGCCATCACACAAAACCCACCTGAGACCAAGAATCCAAGGTTCAGGAGGACAACTGCGATGACTGCAGGAACCAAAACAGGACTGAAAATGATAAATAGTGGAGTAACAACTGTCAGAGAAATGACTGTGCCGGTCAAGATTAAGGCAGCAAGGACAAGGAGGGAGCCACCGGTGGTGACAGCTGTGGCTGCCTTAGCCACCTGGGTGCAAAGGGTTTGTTGGTGTGGATCATCACGGTAGCGAAAGCGAAAGGATGGTTGAGTAGATTGTGATTGTTGGTGGTAGGAAAAGTCAGCCATGGTGGTGAAAAATGAGAGAAAAAGGGTTAGGAGCCAATGTGGTGGAGTTTGATGTGCAGGAAATGATTATATATAGAGGATAGAGTAAGTGGAGGGTTGGGTGGCAGGACCTAAAGGAATGGTGTGACACTTGTTGAAGAGCTTTTCATGCATGGCTTGCATGTAAAACCTATGTGTTCCTTTTATGACACGTTAGGTCTTTGTATGTATTTTTGTTTCTGGCATAGTTTCGGATTTGATAAGAATCCAAGGTCTGTGCAACGGTGTTATACTATACTTAGGTGGCTTTTGTTTTTGTAACTCTAGTGAAAAGGAACGGTACTGAAATGACTTCTTATACCAAGATAAAAGGTTCTACTTTATGTAACAATTATATCTACACTGTTACTAAGTTATATAATACACTGTTACTAAGTTATATAATATATAGAGTAATTCCTTATATATAATTTTGAAGCTCATGTGCTTCATGCCCGCATCATAACCCCCTAATTCAGAAAAGATTCGATAGGCCCAAAGTGGACAATCAGATGTTATAAGATGTTATAGCATGTTTGCAATGAATTTAATAAAGAAGGCATTTGCCTAATAGTAGACACGTGAAATATAATGATTGGAGTTTTGTCGGAAAATTCCGAAAGCTCATATTAAATACGATGGCGACGTTGCAGCGTGCCTAGGTTCTTGCCATTAACTAATTAATTAATTAATTAGTTAACTCCGTCCACTGTGCCTAATTTAATCGGAAGATAAGTTGAAGGAGATATCAGACAATTTTTTCCTAAATTCAATAATAAGCCTACAAATTAAGATGTCACCCTATTGATTAAAATATTTTTATAATTATATTTTTCTAAATCGAGTATAACTTTTTTTATTAAACTTTATATTTTTATGATAAATATTCTACAATTATATAAAAAACGATTTCTTTGATGTTATGAGTTTTTTATTCATCAAACTTAAACTCAAAGTAAAGGTTAAATGATAAACACGAAAGTGTTTGTATTTATCTCACAACTTTGTTTGCTGTAAAACAAAAACTACTTTGTTAATAGGATTTATTATTTTATAGACTGATAGGTAAAAAGTTTTACGCTAATAACCATTCAAATTTATGATTAACATAATATTTTAAAGAGCGTTATTGTAAAATTAACAAATTTACTATATATGACAGATTATAATAATCTGATAAAACTATTTAGACATGCAATGCATACATTGTTTTCTCTAAAAGTACTTTTATTAAGAACAAGCTAATATATTCAATGCATTAAAACCTTTAATTAAGAAACTAATTTAACAATAGCGCCTTTATATTTTTCTGACAAATTGGGGAAGATTTAGAACAATTTATCATAGTTAAACTTTTAAAAGCTTAAATATGTTTTTAATTTATTAATTTTGATACAAAAATTGATTTTTTTATTATGTAAAATTTGGTATATTTTTATTTTCAAATTTTAAAAATAAATTAATATAATCATTTTAATCAAGTTATTTTAATTATTTTTAATTTATCAAAAATATTTTTAATTAACATTAAAACAAAAACATATCAAATAATATAAACAACTCAAATATTAACATAAAATATATTTAATATATAAAAAATAAGTATTATTGAATAAGAAAATTTATATCAATTCAATTTTAAAATTAAAAAAAAATTATCAAAAATTTAAATAAAAATAAATTTCAATTTCAAAAAAATTAAAAACTAAAAATATTTTAACCTAATTTTTTATTCATCATCGTGTTAAAGTATGAAGGATTTAAAATAAAGTAGTATTTGCGTGAACCGAAATGGTTGGTACCAAGAGGCTAATATCTTAGATATTATATTTGGTTTGGAAATGGAATTTTTAAAAGGAAAGTAAAAACGATATGTAGTATCTTAATAGTCTTTGTATTAATTTATAATTACTCTCTATGCTTAGCTCATTAACTAAATTTAGTGATTACGTCATATTAGTACGTAGGGTGGAGTAATTGTGGGACTAAAAAATTAAAAAAATCATAGTTCACGTCTCACGTTCTCACTTCGCGTTAGAATCTGTTTTTTCATCTATCTGCAAGCAAAATTAATTGCATCAAACGCGCTTATGTGATCTTGTCCCTAGTAGTCACATCACACGTACAGTAAAGTGACTTACCTTTGCCAATATAAATGTACCCGTACATAAAAGAAAACCTTCAATGATCCCTTATACGTGTCGAATGATCGTTAAAACACCGATCATAGAGAAATTAATGAACAAATATTTGTTTTTTAAAATACCATTTAATTAAATGTAAATAAAAAACATGAAGAAACAATTTTTCAAGAGGCCTGCAACATCAAAGAATTTGAAGAACATTCTTCAAAAGCAACAGTGACAATGAGACTTAATCTAAGTTTAAGGGGAATGATTTTTTTTTCTTTTTAGGAATATATATACGTATCATAAAAATAACAAAATCCTTTGTTAACGTTCGGTTTATAAAACTTGTGAAAAGAACAAATAAATTGAAACTAAAATAGTAAGATAAGAATTAATAATAAAATCATTGTAATTCAAATACGCTTTCAAAATTCATGAACACGTGGATCTATTATAAACAATTTCTATCATATATAAATATATAATGTATTTTCTATTTTAAATTTTCACTTTCTCACTCTGAAAAATTAGATGTATAATTTATTTTTTACGAGTGATGTTATTTTTATTTTTTTCAACGAAAAATTAATAAGAGAAAAATTTCTCAACTCAAAAGTTTAGAAAACCTATTTTCTACCCAATGTGCTCTAAATTATAAAAGTAATCATAATATGAAGTTTTTATTAAGAAATGTGCCATTTAATGTCATTATTACGTTAAATTGTATTAATCCATTTTACTATTATTTTTAATGGAATCATGATCATGGTGTTAATAAAAAGTTAAACAGTCTCATTAAATGTTGTATTTGTTTTTGTTTTATTTTATCATGGGGATGAGAGAAACGTGGGACAAAGGTGAGAAAGGGGAGGAAAGAAAACGTTAATTTTCATATTTGTACCCGCCAAAACATTTATTACGTGTGAAACCACATACTTTTGTTCGTCATGTTTCATGGAGTTTAATACAAACATTTATGATTTGTCTTTGAGAATAAAAACTCGTGGCTCTTTTCAATAACCACGTTTTGTTGTCGTGTACTCATATAGTCATGAAATTAAAGAGAGAAATATCACTCAATAATGAATGACATAGATAATAAGGCCAAATAAATCCTTTAAAACAATTAGTGATGCTTCTCTTCGTTTTCTCATGGTATGTTTAGTTTATGATTTTTTAAAGATTTTATATTGAGAGATAAAATAAACTTTAACATATAAACTTATGTAAACTTTATTTTATAAATATTTATGTAATATTTAAATTAAATTTAAAGTTTAATTTTTTTATATTTTTGTATGCTGATTTTTATATTTGGGTCTTAGTGTTGAATAAAATCTATAAAAATATTTTGATATTCAAGTTAGTGTTTTTGAGTTTGTTTTCTTAAGAAAGATTAATTAAAAAAAAAAATTTATCTCAAGTGTTTATCTATTTATATTGTTTCTTATAAGATAATTTACTATTCAAGTATGATTAAGGAAAGCTCAAATATGACTTAAGATAATTATTTATCCATAATGTTTACTGAATCGTGTTTATGTACATGTTGTATTAGTTGAGCCTTTGATTATTATTAGTCAAAATTAAACATTTTCGACTTAAACGTGTCTAAAATTTTATGTCGTGATGTGAAAGTCTTACTTAATTATTGACATAAATATCCTACCATAAAAAGAAAATATTAAAAGTGCTAAGAAGTAAATTTTAAATCTAATTCAATCTTATAAAGTCATTTTGTAACGTGACAGTTTGTACTAACGTATATACTTTAAATTGGTTTATCTTTATTTAATATAAGATTTCTAACACACCCCCTCATATCGACGTATATACATATCAAATATGTGACGACATATTAATAGGTGATTCGATAACCACATGCTAAACTCATCATAAAATAAATTTTGTTAAAATAAACTTAAACTCACGACTTTGATATCATATTAAGAAATGAACTTTAAATATAATTCAATCTTACAAAATTAGTTTATAAAATAACATTTACATCTTTTTTATATTTATATATATATATATATATATATATATTATAAATTAGTCTCTATAAGACTTTTTAAATAAAATGTCAAATACAAGTTACCATGAATATCATTTCAAAATAAAAAAATATCATGCAACCCAATTAACAATTTTCTATGTAGTACAATTATAATAATAAAAAAATTTAATGATATTTTAACAAAAATAAAATTATTAAATATGACTTATAGTTTTATTTTTATTTTTCAGACTACAGTTATAAACAATTCTTAAAAACGAATGTAGGTGGTAATTAGTTTTTTTTTTAAAATTAATTAAAGAGATAAAATTTGCTTTCACGTGGGAAAGCAAGTTTCGGCTTGAATTTGGTGATCCACGTGCTTTGTGGACTACTTGCTATCCTAACAACTAATGCTGTTTCAAAACTACTAAAATAATATCGAATTTGATACAATTTTAAAAAGAGGAAAAATTATTATTTACACTTACGACTTTTAGAGTGAGGTAGTAAAATAATTTATATTTTAAATGTGAAAAGATAGAAATATTAAAACAAATAAATTCATTAACAAAATCTAATTTTCACTTTTTACACTATTTTTAATAATCACATACATTAATTATTATTTATGGCTTTATTTTTAAAATTAATATTTGTAAATATTGTCACTGTCAAGACTATTATTACCATTCAAGATGATGTAGCTGAATGCATGGTATTCAGTAGTTGAACGGAGGAGATCCCACAAAGTTATTGAGCCTGACCCATTTATTTGCTTTATTTTTCATAAATCTTGTAATTGTAAACCTAATTTATTGATCAATTTGAAATATCATAGTAGTAACGAGCGCAGGTCATTTTGATTGAACAACATAAATATTTTGTGTTATAGTCATTTTACTTTTATTTTGTAATCACTTGTGTGTTTGTGATCTCTAACATACATATATAAAATATTTTCTTCCAATTTATCTTTGATCTCTCACGACTTAAATCCTCTCTCTGAAATATTTCTTTTTCTTGTAATATAAGATCATTATATTTGTAAAACATCACACACAAAAAATGCTATAAGCTAAATTTATTTTAAATAGATTCATATAAGCACATACTTTCACAACTTATCTATATACAGGCGATATCATTCACAAATAAACTCATTCTTCTAATCATATCACAACAAAGAATCAAGTGTCTAACATCTCTCAATCTAATCAATTACCTCGCATGCCATAAAACATTGATATCACATCAACACAAACACTTCACTCTATTTTTGAAAGACTCGTGTATTAAATTATACTCAAATAATATATTATACTCATTTCACTTTTCACAAAACAACAATATAATTAAATCAAACCTCTCATTCTAAATTCAAAAGTTATTATATATTAAACACAAATACTTTCTATACCAATTATCAACTTTAATGACCACCTCACCTCCAGATTCAAGTCCTTTAATATAGAGTATTAGAAGTAAAGGAAATGTCTTTCCTTGCCTAAATGAAGCTTCTTAACTCAAATTACGCTTCAAGAATCCTTACTCTAACAAGATGCAATACTTGTACATCCAAATAAGATGAAAGATCACATACTTTAACAATCCTAGAAAGGCTCAAATATTATCTTCAACTTAACTGAGCCACATGCAAGGAATACGTCCCGTGTAAAGCTTCTAAAATGGTTTAAGAAAAGAGTAAAAGATGAATTTACTCTAGTTAAGATTCTGATTTGATACATTATAATATTGAATATCCTACCTGCTAACGTCATTGACTATTGATGAAAAATTTATGAAATCACCTCAAATTATAGCAAATACCCACTGTACTGATTTTATTAATATACTGTCGATATATATTTATACATATACTTAAATTTTCTATATAATATTAATCTTTAGTTTTATTAGATATAATATTTATTAAATTTTATAAACTTAATATTTTTATATGTTATTCCTATATCTTTTGTAATTAATTTTATTAACAACAATTTCTTAATATAAATTCAATTAAATAAATGTATGATTATTATACTAATATTTATAATAAATATATCATATTTAGTAAATAAAATAATTTATATTATATAAGAAAATTATTAGTATATACATAAGAAATATTTCAATATAATTAATACACTACAAAAATACGTAATTTTAGTAGGGGTTATTTTTGACATTACCGGGGTTTTAACCCCCGAAAAATATGTTTTCCGCGGTTACAAGAACCATTGGGAAAACCAGCGTCACAAAATTACCGACGGTTTTAGCGGAGGTTTTGTGAAAACCGCCGGTATTAGCGAGGGTTTTCCCAAAACCGCCGGAACTAACCAGGGTTAGAAGAAACCGCCGACATTTACAGAGGTTTTGTTGAAACCGCCGGTATTTGCAGAGATTTTATTGAAACTGCCGGTATTTGTAGAGGTTTTCAAAATCGAGGTTTCAAAACCGCCGGAAATGCAATGTAGATTTTTTTTTGTATTATTTATAATTTATTTGATTATGATAAAAACTCTTTAATATATCAATCACACAATCAAATAATTTGAAATTAAAATTAAATATTATAAAATAAATAGTAATCATGATCTAATACAACAAATTGTTCAAATAATGTAGTACATTTATACTTAATTACACCTTCTAATAAACTAATATATAAACTAATAAAGTCCTCTTTAAAACCTATGATATAATAGTAACCTCACATAATTACTGAAAAAATTCCATTAAAATGTTCTAAAGTCTAAAAATCCAGTAGAGTTGTTGGGTGAGCCCTTCTATTGAGTTTGACATTATCTCTTTTTTTCCTTTGATGACCCAATAGTATCCTTGTAGCTAACCTTAAAACAATATAAACAAATATTAAGCATCAAAATTTAGTATCCTAAAACATTGAACATAATTAAAAAAACAAATGCTTAGTGAAAAATCGAACCTTGCACCGAAAGCTCCAACTTCTAGTTATTTATTTCAGCGTCCAAAGCTTCAATCAAGGATCATCCCCCTCATCTAATTATTGATGGTAAGCAACACTGGAATTAGTTTTCTTTTAAAATGATCGAGGACTATAATACTTAACAATCAAATATGTTTAGACAATAACCATAATCTAAGAGTAAATAAGAACTAAAATCATATATATGTTAATAATCATAATCATATATATGTTAGTAGTATATATGTTAATAACCATAATCCATCACTCCACCTGAATGTGCCATTTCCCTTAGGCAAACCTTCCTCCCGGGCCCCATCATATAGACAAAAAATAAATTCATATTTTTCCACCATGTCAGAACAATATTATATTATGAAAGAACAATAGCACAACTAAATTAATTAAATTGAATGTTTTGGTTATAGTATAAAATTAATAATTGTATCTTTGTTATAATAATATTATAACAGGAAGAATTCAGGGTTTCGGGAACTTGATATAATAATAATATTATCATTTACATTGCAGAGGGATGACTAGAATATGGAGAATAACATCTAATTTCTTAACTAGAAGTAACTCTAAAACTAAATCAACTTCCACAAAATTGAAACAAACAAACAAATTAAAATCAAGGCTACACACAAAACAACAAAGAAATGTAATAGTGCCTATGAATACTAGAAATGAAATGAAAATCAACGAAAAAAGCATCACTAAAGAAAAATGACTAAATCTACAAACTAAATTCAGTAAGTCAAACCTGTAACAACATCAAATTAATAAGAAGAATTGTGATAGAATCAAACCAATTAGAATAGAGAATAACTTAAACTTTATACCTGTTGCAACATTTAAAGACAAAAAATGTTAAGCTAAATAGCATCTTCATTCCTAAAAGTAAGACATTATTATATTATTATATATGATGNCTAAATTAATTAAATTGAATGTTTTGGTTATAGTATAAAATTAATAATTGTATCTTTGTTATAATAATATTATAACAGGAAGAATTCAGGGTTTCGGGAACTTGATATAATAATAATATTATCATTTACATTGCAGAGGGATGACTAGAATATGGAGAATAACATCTAATTTCTTAACTAGAAGTAACTCTAAAACTAAATCAACTTCCACAAAATTGAAACAAACAAACAAATTAAAATCAAGGCTACACACAAAACAACAAAGAAATGTAATAGTGCCTATGAATACTAGAAATGAAATGAAAATCAACGAAAAAAGCATCACTAAAGAAAAATGACTAAATCTACAAACTAAATTCAGTAAGTCAAACCTGTAACAACATCAAATTAATAAGAAGAATTGTGATAGAATCAAACCAATTAGAATAGAGAATAACTTAAACTTTATACCTGTTGCAACATTTAAAGACAAAAAATGTTAAGCTAAATAGCATCTTCATTCCTAAAAGTAAGACATTATTATATTATTATATATGATGTTTGTCACGTTCAGTTCAATATGCATGATTCCTTAAATGCACAAACGTTAAAAATATACAAACACAACAAACCGTACGTTAGTTCTTCACCAGCCGAAACATTGGTCTTCGCAATAAGCACAATCTGATTCTCCTCATCACTCAAGCACATAATCCTAGCAAAGCAGTTTGGCATGCACTATAACAGAACAGGTTGATTCAAAAAAAAAAGTTCTACCTTCGGCGCAAAACCAGAGTCCAAAGACAAGATTCGTCAGAATGACTTACAGAATGGTTTATTATAGGTGCAATATTGCCCTTATCCGTTGCGTCAATCATCACTTCATCACTAATCTTGAACAACTGCATAGTTTATATCATTTGGCATTTAGATCGTAGTACAATGAATCCCAACGTTAACACTAAACATCTGTTGTAGAAATCTGAACAACATGAACTAGAGGTACAAATGGAACATGATAGAATAGGTAGAACACCAAAGTTCAAGTCACAATTCCCCATGTCCCCAACTAAAAAGTTTAGCTTTGGCAGATTGACTGTCTTGGAAAGGGAGGGTGAATCAATTCGCAGACATGAAAAATGGAACTGCCTAACCTTAATATTTAAGACCCAAGTAGAATTAATGAGAATAAAAAGGACTATTTATCTAAAATCAAATTTTGATAAATCTCAATATTTATAGAACTTCATAAAAACTATGAATTTTATACAGCAGTAGCAGAGCACCCTAGGAAAGGAGCTCTATCGTCATAAAAAAATTAAATCGGGAAGGAGAAACTTTCAGAAAATGAGAACCTTTTTTTCTGAGATGAAAATAAAGCACTAATAAAAGATGGAAAGGTTTTCTCTCATTGCTAATTAGATCTTGAAACAACTACCATTCAATTGAATCGACAGTAGAGAGAATGAGAGACATACCAGAAATGAACCAAACAACTAAATCAGTTATCACTTCCACAGTTCGCAACAGCTAATAAAGCAGTACATTCCTCTTATCCGTTGGATTCTTCCCTTGGAACTTCTGAGGTTTGAATGGCATTCAGCAAGTGGAGAGCTTCAAATTTCAAGGAATTGTGCAAGACAACAAATTGCCTTGCTATTGCTGCCACTTGTAGAGGAACGAGTCAAAAATATTGCTTCACCAAAGACATTATATATGTTTATTTACCATGATGCAAGATTAGTTAATAAAAATGAAAACAAATTAAGTACTAAATAGAAATATTATAGAAGCACACTTACAATAACTGAAATGTCAAATAAGTCATTATTCTGGAATATTTCAAAGGACATCCTACCCAGAATCAATTGCAGAAGTTTGAAAGATAATTCCATCAAATGTGAACCTGCAAATTAGGAAGAAGTGTCTATCATCACAATGCTTCTATCATAGTGTCTTCAAAATAACTCCATGAAACAAAGGAAGAAGTGTTCCTGTGTGATGGAAGAAGGAGGGCTTGTTGGCGTATAAGTTGAGGTACTCCAGCAATGCGACTTCCGCTTCTTTTACGGTGCCAGATTTCCTGCTCTCGAATTTAAGGTTTTGGCAGGGGAAATGCAAGTGATAATGGAATAACATAGATGACTGTTTGTGATAGTGTGGTTGTGGATGATCTGTGACTAGAGGGGGAAGGTCTCATCAAATTCTCTATGAATGATGGAAGACATGGAAAACCCTCAGCAGATAAGATGAAGATTGAAGAGATAAGATGAACATACCAGGGAGACGGAACTGATAAAAATCGCCTCAACAGAGTCCTCGCCGCCTCGACCTCGCCGTCTCGACCTCGCCACCTCGTCGCCTCCACCTCGCCGCCTCCACCTCGCCGCCTCCACCTCGCCGCCTCCACCTCGACGCTCAGCCCAAACAGAAACGAACACGAACACGAACACGCAGCGGGAAAGATTATGATTTGGGGAAAGAGTTTGAGGGAAGATTTTGACGAAGGCAGCAGAGAGGGAGGGAGGGAATTAAGGCTTAGATTTAAGACATTAGAAATGAAGGTGCGGGAGAAAGACTGAACAATAATATTAGACTGTTAGAAAAATTATTCTAAAAAAATATATTTTATGGCGTTTTGGTTTTAACCGCCAGAAAATTTTTCTAAAAATATAAAATAAAAAACCTACTTGCGGTTTTAAGTATAAACCGCCGGAATGTATTTAGGATTTCCAAAACCGCCATAAAAAAAGCCCTCTTAAAATAAATAATTTTTGTAGTGATATGATTGTAGACTCTTATTCGATATACGCTTAAACACTCATTTTGACAACCTAGTGTTATACGTAGAAAACAATTAGCCATTATTTGGATTTGAGGAAAGTGGAAGAGAAAAATAAAAGTTAAACAAGGGAGAGATGAGAAAAATAAAAGTTAAACAAGGGAGAGATGAGAAAAAAAAATAGAGTTGTTTGATTAAATTGAAAGACAGTGGACAGAGAAAAAATAACTAGTAGAAAATATACAAAAATACAAGTATATTATTTAAAGAAAAAATAATTATTAATGAATTAAATTTTAGCGCTTATATTTTTTTTAAGTGTTTTTATTTAATAGTGTCTGTAACATCCCAATAATTCAAAATAGAAAATCGAACACATAGGATAATCACATATAATAATATTACATTTCAGTCTTACAAAATTAACGTACGGTTATGGCCGAACGGCCGTACAAGTACTGACCGAACGTCCTACTGCTCGATCTTCACTTCTACCTCTACCAAATTTTCTAAGGTCACCCATCCCTAAATTGCTCCAGGCTAAGCACGCTTAACCATGGAGTTCTTATGGGTCAGGCTACCGAAAAGCAAATGCATTTTGGTGATATGAGTAGTCTAATCAATTCCTTTAAGCTATCTTTCAATTGTATAGTCCCATACCTATACAGTCTCCAGATCCCTCTCATTCCGGTGTATGTCCGATTCGTCCATGGACCCCTTCCATTGGAAGTCTGCCAGGAGCCGCTCATTGTCCGTGACGCTTTGCACCGGCGATCACTCCCCGCCCTCGTCAGTGCCCGAGCGTCACATAATTCAATCATACATATTTAAGAAAAAAATTCACACAATTCAAACGAACATCATCCATCATTCAATAAAACATACAAAGCCAATTACTAGACTCAGACTGTCCAGACTGTATGAATTATGTAGTTACAACGCTCGTGCACCCGGGTGATGTAGTAACTGGGATGCCCTGGACAGCTGCCACCCGAGGTTAGTCCGTTCTTACGTCGCCCATGTTAACTTAGGGACTAAGGACCTCCTGCCGTTCGCACACATGACTTACCCCTCTCTACGTGAGAAGAGTAATCATTGAACATCAGGATGAGCCGCCAGCTTAACTTACCCATATTCATATTTTACCAATTTCAATATACATTCATGAGACATTCCTCCCCGGAACGCTCGTTCATAACTCATTACCATTTCATCAATATTATATTTCATCATCTTACAAGATACTTTCTCAACTAAGCCAAACGTGATCCCTTAGGATATCAGATACCTAACGACGGTAGCGAGACCAAAACGTCTCTAATTCTAGAACAACTGATTCCAGCAATTTACTCCCTGAGTATGAAAGAAAACTTCGTACGGGACTAGTTATCAGAGGCCAATGAAAACGAACGTGATTTCCAGATGAACCAGGTAAAATGAGCTGGCTCTTAAGAGTTCAACCCGAACGCAACTAACCTAGGCCGAACACTAAGTCTCGAGGCTAAACAATATTAGGAATGATATGGTAGGACGCCCACTAAGGATTACGGAATGAATAGTACGAATAGGCCGTACGTTGAAAATATTTAACTTATTTATGAGAAACATCAATGAACCGAATTTCAGTCGAATACTGAACATGTACAGAACGGACGCTACACATTTTGGACGAACGCTCACTTAGAGAAAAAAAAAGGATTTCGGAAACAAGAATAACTGCTTAGTAGAAGACTAAACATTTTGTACGAGCGCTTGGTATAAGACCGAGTACTACTTAGTACGAGCGCTTGGTATAAAACCTAACACTACTAAATATGAGCGCTTGGTATAAGACCAAGCACCTCTAGCACATAGAATAAAACTTGAGAATTATAAATGTTCAATAACGAACAAGGTATACATTTTCATATAATAAATTGGAATTTTCAATCTAACGTCAAGAAATGAAGTTCCTTGGTTGAACGCTTATGAGTGAATAGAATTCATATAGAAAAGACGCTCGTCCTCAACTGGAATTCTCTCCAAATGAAAGAATCCAGTTTCAGCCGAGTTCACCATAACCGAACGGTCAAAGACCGTCAGATTACTATCATACATTTTCATATAACTTCCAGTATTAAATTCATAATCTCTTCAATTCACTCCACAAAATTTAACTTCATACAGTCATACATTTTCACTCATTTCTCAACATTCATATTCATAAAGTCATGCATTCATACATTTCTAAATTTCCAGATTCATACATAGCAACCATCATATACATTCAGTCAATCAACCAACATGCATTCAATGAAAAACGAACGTACGTTAAATTAAATAAGCTTCCCTTACCTCTGAGCGTGAACGAAAGTTCTCAATAGACGTAGACGAACGTTCACCGGTTGAACAGAAAGCTCACCGCTAAACTCTTAGAATCCTAAGCTCACACGTTATGAGGCTAAGTAAAACATAAAAACAGAAACACACAGAATGAGAGGATGAACCCATGCAACCCAGAAAATCTGGTTTTGCAGGAGACTGAAAACTTACAGCTGAGGGAGGAATGAACTTACCAGCTCAGAACAGAAAGCTGTTCGGTTCAAACGGACGCCCTTGTCGCCAGAAATGCTCAAGTGTGATCTACGGGATGATCAGAGGAAGAAAAGTGTTAGATTTCGTAGAGAGAAGGTTAAGAATTCTAGAGAGAAGGAGGAGAAAATGGTTTTTCAGAGTTTTTGGAGAAGAAAGTCGCATGCAGAGAAGTGGCACGTCGTTTGAAAATTTTTCATTAACTACTGCCCACTACCAAAGACGAACGTCCACTCTCTAGCCGCCACCTGTTTTTCACTCTCTGAAATCCAACCGTTCGTCGCGACACTTGTAATCCATTCAGCAGGGTTTCTTAGTGGGTTTTAAATTGGGTTCTGACAGTGTCAAATTCAAAAATGGATTAATATAGTATGAATGATTCAGAATTTTAAAAATATATGTTGGAGTACTGAACTCTTGCTTCAGGAACATGTGAGTTACATTGGCTCACTTACCTTCTCAATGATCCTTATCCAACTTATTCTCGTTTAATTGTTTTATATTATAATAATAAAAGCTCTTTTCACATAGCTGTTAACCTCGTGTTTTACGAGGGTATTAAATATTTAAACATAATTAAGGTCTTGCTTTGAGTCTCATCCTCCAAATAGCTGTAGACATTTTTACTAAAGATTTTCTACTTAAACCATTCATCAGCAACTTTATCTAAGTCAGAGTTAGTATTTGGCTGATTCTTCTTCTACCTCCCTTTTTTTCTTCTTTCGAAATGTGAATATTTTGGAATCTGAAAATATATTTTAAAATATACATTTTGAAATGTTTTTTCAATACATTTTGAATTGTACCAATGAAAAAATATTTTTATATTTTTTGGATTGCTCAATTCAAAATACATTTTAAAAGAAAATTATATTCTAATCCAAAAGATATTTCTATATCCAAAACACATTTTAAAATACACATTTCAAAATACATTAAAAAAATTCATTTCAGAAAGTGCATTTCAAAATGTATTTCCAAATCCAAACATATCTCTCAAATTATATAATTAGAATGTATTTTAAAAAAATAATTTGAATTATACAATCTCATCAAACTATTTTTGAATTTGAAAAATATGTATTTGAAATGCATTTAAAAATATATATATTTCAGAATACACACCCTTTTGAAAAGATCATCCCTTCATCACAAGAAATAGTCTCGTAGAATCCCATATATTTATAGAAATTTATAATATATTACAAAAATTGATTATGTGATTTCCTTAGGTAAGCTTAAGAACATTTAAGGCTCAGGATCCTGTCCTGATACAATACCTACCATGAGTGCCCACCTACATGACCACTCACCCCCCACGAATCCTTACTCCCTCCCATCTCTCTATCTACAGTAAAGACCTTAAAGTTGGTTACTCATTCATTCTTCACAGGCTCTTCTGTCATATCTCCCTTTCCTTCCATTTTGTCCCCATCAAACCCTTCACCCTTCCCCAAACCGTAAAAGACAGCACATACATCTCTATCCCCCCTCTTCTTGTACAATCTGATTCCCCTCGCTAATAGTTTATAACTTTTGCTTTAACGAATGTTGTGTTTCCACCACTAACATCTCTCTACCAAGTGTCCCTTTATCTCATATATCCATATATCCTATTATGATTAATAAAAGGCATTTTGTTGACATATAGTAAAACAAGTAGAATGGTAATAACAAATAAATAATAGGTTGTTTGCAATGTATGTATATTTAGATAAGATAAAAAGATTTGAAAAGTGTAAATAAAATTATTAAAGAAAATAACTTGTAAGTAATTATAAGAGTAAAATAAGTACATGCAATCTAAAAGACGACTTATCTATTTAGTATAAAGTACAAATAATAATAAAGAATTAATAATAGTAATAAAATGTATGAGAGGTTAAATAATAATCACGAGTTTGAAATTAACAGTAAATTTGTAAAAACAAAATAATTTGTGGTCTATTTTTCTTTTTGAACCGGAAATATAGTTCGCTAATAAGAGATTTGACAAGTGACGGATTTAAGGGTAGATTATCAAGTTCGCGTTCTAAAACTATGCGCCACAAACATGGACAGAGGAAATAAAAAATAATAAAATAGGAGATGGAAAGAAAGAAGGATAATAAACTGTTTGTATAAAATGTAATTCAAGCCATCTACATCAATAAACAATCAACCAACAAATTTTGGTTTCACTTACTCATAATCCGTCATTTTCATTTTTGTTGAGGGCGCTTCATTTTGAGAAGATGGGAGATTCCTGCAATAACGTGTAAACGACTGCTCGGGACACCTGTCTTTGCCAGGGCCTTGCAATTGTGGTCGAGAAGCACAAAACAAGGAACATAGCTAACATCATAATGAAGGAGCTGCGATACGAACATTCAAAACCAAGTCAGCAAGAAGTAATGAGAACAAAATGGATTCTCCTGATATTAAACAAATAAATAACATGTTCAATGATTTCTATACAACATTATCCTTCAGGAATCAGAAGATAGAAAAAAACACCAAAATGAAGGTAATACAATAGTACTGAGAGCTTGAACTATTTCAAAGGAATTTCAAGTAAATAGATTTTTTCAAGGTCAACATAATTTCTACGAATAGCAAGCTGAGGTATTTAAACAAAACTTCCAACTGCTTCCTAAATTTGAAATTCTACTGTTTCCATCAAGAAAAAGATAAAGGCTCATGTATCTTCTCTATTGAAAATGTATATTACTTTATAATTAAAATATGTAATATGTTCTTCCAGATCCTTCCAAAAAACTGATGTTTCTTCACAGAACCATCATCTCAAGTTTCACATGGGAATACGCCGAAATCACATTTCTACAGAAACTATATACACCGAAGGACATATATGGAAAATGGATCTAGAAAATTAAGTATATGGTGATAATTTTTGGCTGAAGTGTGATCCTAGGATGGATGTCTTAGTTTGGACAAATTTGGGCATTGCCCATTCATCAATTTTTATTAGTATACGGTGATAATTGAGATATTCAAGGAAGCAGCATTTTTTCAGTTGAAAGGTAAGGTTAAACATGGAAGCAGCATCAATGCATGATGTACATAATCCAAGACAAGATACTGGGTTAAGGCCAATTTAAGCAGAAACAGTAGTGCAAATAAAATTTGCATGGTTTGCTTGCATGTAGAGGTCATTCTGAAAGAATGAACAAAAAAAAAAAGGCCAAAGTTACAGAGATGAAGAGACGACAAAACAATACTTCTTCAAAGGGATATATTGACCACAATCACATTTGAGGAAAACAAAATTGACAAACAGGTCTGCATCTTGAAGAGGTAAAAAACATGGCTTGGAGCAGGAGACAGAGTCACAGAACGTCAACCTAATGGCTTAGTCAGGTCTGCCCAAACGTGGTTCAGCATAAAATGAATAATTATCTTATTATTTGCTAAACCCCCATGCCCCATTAAATTCTTCCTAATAACCAAACTGATATGTAAGTTTATACACAACAATTAAAGAAACAGAACAATATAAAATAATTACAAAACATCAAACCAAAATTTATATTCTTCACAGTCCAATGGCATATAAACCAATCTCCATAACAGAAAAAACATAGCTAACATCATAACACCTATGCTGTTGCGTGGCTGCATGGTATTGTCCATACTACTCTAGAACAGTTATTGTAAAAGTATTATTCTAGTCGTTTAGTTCCTATTCATGAAAATTATTTTATATACTAGAATTAGATCTATTGCAATAGATAGATATTATTTTTATCAAGGGTTTCTGTTAAGAAAAGGGTTTAATTGCTGTAACTTAGTTTCATTTTCCCAGAACTGTAATAGGTTATTTTTTATTTTTCCTACATGCTTGTTAGAAGAACAGCCTTCTTATCTGTCTCCCAGATTTACTAGTTCATTTTTTCTGTCTCTTCCATTATACTAAATGGCCATTATTATTCTACAACAATCCAGTAACAGAAATGAAGTGAAGCAATAACACTCAGCATCATGAACTCTTGTACGAAAAAAATGTCAGTTGGATTTACCAAGCCAGGAAATAACTCGGATGCACAGAATGCTCATGCAATTTATGCAACCAAACAGAAACCTTGGCTGAGATGAAGTTTGATCCCATGTGGGGATTCTCAAAGGCCAGCAAAAGCCAAAAAACATTCTGCTTCTGAAACCCACATAGCAAATACTGAGTTTTTTTTTTTTTATTTCTTACTACTAAAGGTTTGCAGAAATCAGTAACAATCAATCAGAACTTCCTGAAGGTACTATTCAAATATATTGCTCCACCAGCCAACGATGTTTCTCAAGATAATTTTGAACAATGAAGGCAGATCTGAAATCATTAATGAATAGCCTATCTGATAGGTAAAAAGGAAAGACAACCTAATGATACAAACCAGTGTTTTTCTCCCAATTCCACTCCAAACTAAGAGTGATATCTTTTCTTTTTATTTCTTTGTATACCCAATCATCTCTAAGCTTATCTAACTAACTGGTGCAACTAACACATGCTAACCCGCTTTTCATTTGGGTGTCGTCAGTGGAAACTACAGGTTTTCAAGTATCATGATTTAATTCTTTGAGCATAAAAATGAAAATTACCAATTGATGGGAATTTTTTTATAGGGGATGAACATTGAAAAATATAGTTATTCCACATGATTCATGTTTAAACTGAAGATGAAAACTTAATGAACAATGTCTTTATTTCTTAAAGTAGTATTCAATCAATAACATTATAGTCATGGTCTGGGTCAGCCGCATTCAGATGTTGTTCATAATTTAGAGTATAGCCTTACTCACTATGCAAAAACATAATTCAGAGTTTAGGATGAATTATATAACACAGAAATTAAGAAATTAGCTTCTAGAATAAATAATGTGGAAAAATTCTACAGTTTAGTTTATTTTCACACACACATATATAGACACACCTGCATTTTAGTTTGTGAAAAGGTCCATTTGATACCTCAGGTAGCCAATTGGGATTCTCAGCATCAGCCATGACAATATTGAGCCAGTGAGAGTTCCGGGTTTCGACTTCGGAAACAAATTTGAACAGGGAATTACAGAGCCTGCACTTGGCTGAGTAGAATTCCACCAAAGTCGCCTCCTTGGCGCTTGCCAGAGCCGAAGCAAATGCCCTCTGTTCTGCCTCCGACTGTGTGAGAGTCGTTTTCTTTTTCCAACCTGAAACAGAGCTCGCAAAATTGAAAGGTATTAAACCAAGGTTTTGGAGAGATTTCAATGGCCAAGGACCCTCAAACTTGCAGGGACCAGGACTAGAATTAGGGTTTGTTTCATTCCATGGCCATTTCAGGTAAAACATTTGTTTAGGTTTAGGATTGGGAACAGAAATCGAATCCATTAAGCCACATCAGAGACTACAAACAATAGTCAAATAGCTAGTATAGTCGGATAGATATCATAAAGAAATGACAACATCCTTCCATAAAGAAGATGAACTATTTATAATTTTAATATAAATTATTTTAATTATAAAATAATAATAATATAGATAATGATTTAGATAAATTAATGTATGTACAATAATATTTATTCAATAAATATTATATTTGATTTATTAATTTGAATATATAGATGATAAATATATGAATATAATAATTGATGTATCTCAAATGAAATATTTTAAAAAATTTAAAAGTAATATAAAATTAGTCTATTGATTCATAAATAATGTGTTAAATACTTTAATTTTAGAAACCTGGTACTTTAGAATATTAGTTGAATAAATATAATATATAATTACTTGGGGCTTAAAAAATGATTATTAGATATTCAGTAACCTGAATCAAGAAAAATATAAAGTATTTAATGATAATTTAATTGATTAAATTTTCATATTTATAGAATTAATTTAAGCAAGTAATGATAAAAGAAAATATGGTATTATTTATTTTAATAATTCTTGAAAGTAGAATGGATGAGTAAGAGTTATGTTTTAGGGTTTTGTTAAAAAAAATAATTTGGATCTGATTTTAATTTGTTTAATTAAAGATTAAATAATATGAAATTAAAAAGGATTGTATAAATGAAAGAAGATTAGGAAATTTAAGCACAGTAACAAGTATAGAAATTATACGTAGATGTTTAGAAACTTTACTGAATATGAAATTAATTTATAAAATTATTAAGATGTGTTTGCTTTTTATGTAAATAACTAGTTTTTATGTTTTTATTATGTTTATATATTAATAATTATAATTGTAGAAATAATATTTTTATAATTTATAAAAATATTTTTCTTTATATATATAATAATTATTATAATAATAATAATATTTTTGTAATTTTAAATAACGATTTCAAATTTATTTTAACATATTTTTTACTATTTATATTTAATTTTATATTATATTTATCTTTAAAAGATAAAATAGTAATAATATAATTTTATTTATTAAACCATGTTTTCTAATCTATCATTCTTATAACATTATACACCACAAACTTTTATAAACTTTTCATTCAAATCCCTATATCTATCTCTTTAGATTTCTTAATCTAAACCATCACAATCTTTTTTCTCATTCCCTCAAATTTATATATTCAAACATTACCTAAATGTCAAAGTTTTCAATTTGAAAAGAAAAAAAGAATTAAAATTTAAAATTCAAATAAAAGAAAATAAGTAATTGTCCTGTAAATCTAAAATTATAAACATGTTTCTTATGTTTGGTCATACTTTCTTTATTCTCTTTAACATGTGTCTTGTATCTTTTTTTTATTATTTAACCTTAATGCATGAAATAGACTGAAAATTAAATTGAATTTTCATTTTTCCTCACCTAATTTCTTATTATTCACTAATTGAGTTTAATATGTTTAATTATAAAAAATACTAATTATACTTAGTTTTACATTAACGAAAAATACTAGTTTTTAAATTTTATCATCAAAATATTATTATTTTTTACAAATATTTATTTAATTTAAATTTGTAACATCTTTGTCAATAGATCCATAAAAATAATATTATTCTATTCCATAACATCTATTGCAGAACAATTCTAATAAAGTTTTTGTTCCAGGAATAAAAGCTATAAAAATTGATGGCTTTATATCAAAAGGATATCATGCAACAGAAACAAACAAACAATATAGAAAAGCTATAGTATATTCACAAACTAATCTCCACATCATTAATTTGGTTAATAGGTTCCATGATTTGTACCAGTCAGGAAGGTGAAAAGAGTAAGTCCCACAGACAAAATGAGTTTGCTCTCAACAAGAAAACAACCGTTACTGACATAACCTAAAAGAAAATGTAGCTATATATCGAGAGTGGAGACTGGTCCCAGATAATCTCCTTCCAAACTGACCAATGCTTGAAAGTCCCTATCTGCTTCCATCCACTTAGTACCTATCACTGAAAAGCGAAGTGTGACATCTTTTCCAATTTTTGACAATTTGTCATTCATGAAGCAAGCATTTTCACCAGGAACATATTCGTAATCAGGCATCTTCAAATGTGAGAGATAGACATTCTCAATTGGACCACATCTCATGAAAACTCCATGCTTTAGAACCTTGTGGACAACACCCTCCAATATCTCTCCATTGAAAATCTTGAAGGTAATGGCATTAAAAACAACAGGGAAGAGCACATCCCCATGCTGTCTGACCTTTCCTTCCCCTATTTTCTCCAGTGTGGTCACAGCAAGAAAGTATCCCAAATCTTTGGTTGCTTTCTTCATAGCAAAGTCACCTAGCAGGCGGATGATGATTGCCCTCTGAAGCATCAGACCTTGTGGTTGCAGATTTTCTGGAGCAATGATGACATTCCAAGACAGCTGAACTTTGAGAAACATTGTTTATTTGTTCCTAATTCTTCTGCCATCGAATAAAAAAATATCAGTACCTAATCCAAATTTCAAAGGCACAAGTATTCTTCAACAAAGTTAGCAGTACATTTTAATGATTAGGTTGATGGGTATCTAAATTTTAATCTTCCCAGACTAGTGTTAATGTCACCAAAGTCACTCTGTACTAGGAAATCACTAAGAATCATAGATAAACATATAACTTTCCCAGTTTACAACTTCTCAAATAGAGACACATTCTTACTTCATAATATGTTGCTAGACACAACATTTTGTAATTTTAATTTAATACAAATTTTATCCAGCAAGATGCATACCCACATTTTATCTTAAATATGTATTCTCAAAGCAGTTAACTTGTAACCACAACTACAGTTTCAATAATGAGGGTATAGTGACTCGAGAAGCTCCTACAGTCAGTGAACTGGGATCCAAATAATGACCATATGCAGTTGCTGGAAGCTCTCTTAGTGCACAAATCACATCCTTGATGTAATTCAGTGAAGTTCAGGGACTAATCTAAGAGATTTTCCAATAATCAAAGAAATACCGAGCACGATTCTACTACTGCTATAACTACTTAATTATTTTTAAGGACAATTTTATCAGAGAGAATAATACTTCGAAGATCAAAATGACGGTTTACTAAAAAAATACACTATCTATATAACACATACTATCAAGAATACAGTTGAATTGTCACATGTCTCTGTTTTATAGCTAATTACAACAATTTATATCTGCAAAGTTGACAGTTGAGACGACAACAGAGTTGAGTGTTCATTTATCTTTTCTTCTTCTTTCTTCTAACAGCAATTACTTTCAAGAAGAAGACTACCCAAAAGCCCTCGTCATCAAAGGGTTTAACCCTTAAAGTTTTTTCACCCACCTATTCAAATTAAAAGACCCAACAAATGCCAAAACTCTTCTAAAATTCCTGACCATTCTCAACAAATTTAAAACAAACCTAATTTCCCACACCTTAGGTTTTTCCTATATTTTGAAGATAGCAAAAATTTAAGAGGATGAAGCAAAACGCCATTAAACTTCTTAATTACCTCAAAAGATTCAAATACTAGCCATAAAGCACCCCATAATAACCTCACACTCAAAAACTCCTACACCCAACAAATCTCAAGCCATGCATGACTCCGTAGAGGAGGGCGAGACAGAAAATTAAGAAAGAATGGAGAAGAAGGAACTTACCGAAGACAAAAACTCTCTTTTGATACTCTACACTATCTCTTAGTAAGCTTGCAAGAGAGAAAGGTGTTGTAAGTTTGGGAGTAGGAGAGGAAGAAGGAGAATGGAAGGAGAATGGAAGAAGAACGAATGAAAGGATTTTTTTTTTTAAAAGACACGAAAATTTCAAATTTTTATTCGCACCCCAATTGCTAAACTCACCCCTATTATACCCAATGCTACCACAATCAGTCAGAGGCCGAACTTTATACTTGATACACCATCTACAAACTACTATCACCAACCATCGATACAACTAAAACTTAAATAAAATACATTCATGTTATATATATATATATATATATATATATATATATGTATATATATCAAAAACATGGTTCAGTTATTTTAATTTAATAACTTGTTTGTATTTTGTTCATATGAATTTATAATTTGATAGCGATGTTCTCACTTTTGGTATAAAATAAAGTTATTATAATTTAATTCAACTTAAACCAAAATATTATTTATTATTTATTGACATGATTTAAAATGGTAAAAAAAATTAATATGTTAAAAATATAAGATAGATACAAATTTCAAAAAATAATTTTAAAAATTTTCAATTAATTATTTAAATTTTAAAAAAATATATTTGAGAGGAATGAAAAGTTACAAAGACCATCTAGCATTTTCTCTATAAAAGATACAATTAAAAAAATAAAAGAAGATAAAAATAAAGTGAAAATAAATTAAAATAGAATTTTTAAATTGGTGAAATTAAAAAAATAAACAAGTTTATTTATTTTTTATTGTTTAGATGATAGTAATTTTAAGAAAGAAATACCAAATAAAATAAAATGGTTAATTTTTTTATAAAATATTGTAAAAAAGAAATACAAAATAAACAAGTTTTTATATATATAAAAGTCGAAATGTTGTAGGTTTAGTCTTCTCATGACAAAAAGGAGTGTATGCATGTAGAATATATTTTGACATTCAAAGTAGTTAAGTGTGTGATAGCAGTAAATATTATAATAATGAATACATCCCATATTTACCTTAAGATGTTTATACACATTTTACATGTTTTTTTTATCTCAATGGATCTCGTCCACATGACTAGTTACTATGATTAATCATTAATTAACCAATTATATTAATGATAATTTTATCTTGATGTTAATATGATCAATGTAGTCAATACTTGTCATAGAAGTTGTTTTAATCGATATGTAGTTGATCAGACCATCATAACATGTCTTTATATCATCAGGACTGAGTACATCTAGACAGAGTTGGTGATGATATAATAATTATAAACATTATTTGATTAATGTAATTATGAACATTAGATGAATATTGGTAGAAATGATATTTTTTTTTACCTTAATTAGTTGGGTGTATAGATATATATTGGTAGTCTATGACTAAAAGAAAAAAAAAGTTTTTTCTTTCTCTCTCTCTATATATTTTGTAAATACTAAAGTAATAAAAACAGTACACTCCATCTTAACAACTTAAATACATCAAGAAAATGAAATTAGAGGATACCGACAGCATGGTATAACTTTTTCTTCAAGAAGCAACTCAAGATCCATTTACAAAATGATTTCAACATGCTTTAATAAGATATTTATGATTTCACATATTGGCTACGAATCTCTCACAATTCTTGCCGTTGAGTACTCTTTAACTTTGTGACATTATAATATAGCAAGTTAGCCCTATTTTTTTTTTTTTTAATGTGACGTATATTTTTCACAAAGATTAACAACTACACAGAATATACGAAAGAAACAAAGTAGAAAAGCAAGAAACAAACTTAAAGGACACTAAACAACGATAAGGAAGAAACTTGTTATAGAAATATTAATGTTTGACTGAATTATAACAAAGAGAAACAAAGGTTACGAGAAAGAGAACAAAGATAAATCTTGCATGTAACGTTTAAGCTTTTATTTCCAACTCTCATGTCTGTAACCATTATTGTTTTTGGCAAAGCATTGTCTTTGTCTATGTTCTATTCTGTATGGGACCATTGGTACCTTTACTTTTTTACCCCTTCCATGCTTGCTACTAATACTACTGTCTTCTTGGTAACGAATTGATCCAAAAGTGCATGGTACATAGCTTTCTGTAGGTAAATTTAATCTTCAATGTTTAAACTTGTCAAAGTTTTAGATATATTCTAGCTAAAAGGAGCTCAATACATTTTATGGACTTGGAGTAGTTTTTTCTGTACTTTCGTATCAATTTATGCTATTATTTTAGTTACTACAAGTAGTTTGTCATTTTTTGGGCTAAGATTCTAAATGATATATTAATAATTAGCATATTGACCCCATACTCGATTCCTTGTTAGATCAATAGGAGTTTGAACTAACTAACAATATAACATCCAATAAAAATTCACAATAAGAAATTAATATATAAACTTATAATTAAAAAGGATTTTTTTAACGACCCCTTACTAATTCAACATGTTTAACGAACCCAATTATTTATTAGGCTTTTAACAATGTTTTTCTTTGAAACGCATCATATTATTATATTAGACTTTGTGACCATGTTATTATTCTTTAAAATCTATGATATTTTGTTGTTAAGAATCAAAAGAGGATATAGATTCCACTTAATAACTAACATTTTCATTATTATTTCACATTAACGAATTTAAATATGATACATTTGATTATAATAAATACAGTTATTTTAGTATTTCATAATATAATTAATTTATTTTATTTGGAGTTTCATTTTGAAGATGTATAATACCAAGTTTTACACCAATAAGTGATGTTATAGAAATAAAGTTATACTTCAGATAAAATAATTGTAAAAATGCTTTAAAATATATTTACTTTTTTAACTATATTTTTAATTTTTCCTATCCAACCTAATATTTTATATTCCAATTTATATTTTTCTAATAGTTATATGTTGATTCCTGTAAAAAAAAAAACATAACTTTGTATCAATGTTTTTTTTACCATTTTTGTTTATGAGGATGATAATAACTATCACAAAAAAAAAACATATAGCGAAATAATAAAGTTGTAATCTACAGTTTGCTATAAAAACTGTTATAAAAAATTTTCAAAATTATGAGTGTAAATAAAAAAAAAATGTTACCCGTAAAAATCACATGTGAACTAATAAGAATTTCATATGACCTTATACTTCTTGAATATATCTTTTATCGGAAATAAGCAACAATATAAAATGGACATAACATTTTATCATAGCTGGAAATATATAGCACTTTTTTGTTGGCATATCATCGTGTATCTTTCTCAAAAGCAAAAGTTTGGCTGTATTAACTTGAGACACAAGAAAAATAAATAAATTCCCTGCAGTTTCTACAAAATCCCAATTATATCCTTAGTCTTGTGACGTCACAGTTAATTGAGATAGATTCAGAAAGCTGCAGGGGCATGTTGTGAACTCCACATTGCTGCAGCATGCTTCACGTTTAGAAACCACCGTATCAGAAGCTACTTTGCATATTATTCTGTCTCTGTCTCTTTTTCTGTCCCTTTTCTTTTCTTGAGTTGAGATATCTCTGTGCTTAAGGAAGTAACTGTGCCAAGTTTAAACTCACACGCACTCCACCCTATATATAAGTTCAGCATCTCATCACCACCAAAGCCAGAGCAAAGCATAATACAAACCGACACAAGAGGATACTACTTCCACGTTGAATCACCATGGCATTGTCTAATGGAACTTCAACTACCGCTTTGATTCCTCAAAGTGGTACAGCTTCCATCCAACATCGTGCCTCTTTGCCCAATCCATTTGATCTTACTGACGATCAGATCCTCGACATTGTTTATCTAGCCCACCTCAATGACGATGAAATTTGCGACACAGATAAACTTTACAGCCTTGTCTCCAACATTGTCCTTCGGGTAATTCCCATCCATTTTGTCCACTATTTTTTATTTCTAATCTTCATCATATTCTGTTTTTCAATAATACAAATAGCATCGTTGATTAATTATTACAAATGTTTTAATTTAATGTCCCTTATATTTTTTTAGAACATAATGCACCGTAGGTAGTTGTTACAAAATAGTAATATAGAAAAGCTATATGGAGTGGCTAACTTTCAACTTTTTAATTGTTTTACAGAGCCAATCTCTGATTTCCACAAGCAGTTCCAAACCGGAATTCGTTACACTGAAGCTGATTTCTTGCCAGGTTAATTTTTATGCACATGTTATGGTAGATCATCTAAATCTAATAGGCGTGGTTAGTATTTAATTTGACACTTACATACAAGCGGTGACACAGATGATATCCACACGTGCTGCTGCGCACTGCGTACACCAGACAACAATGTGGATACTTCAACATCTGAAATGCTATTCCTGGGATGCGAAAGCGTTGATAGCAATAGCTGCTCTGTCTTTGGAGTACGGGAGTTTCGTGCACCTTTCTCAGTTTCAAACAAACGATGTGCTTGGAAACTCGTTGAGGCAGCTGAATCAAGTTCAGAGCAGGAATGTGTCTGCTGTTGCCGAACTTGTCACGTACATAGTGACAGCGTTTCAGCAAATCAAAGAGTGGGCAAGGTATGCTGCTGATGGTTATGATCCAGAGGACGTGCCTGACTTGACAGAAGCCTTTCAAGCCATCCTTGTTGTTGTATACTGGACAATTGCTGCCACTGTTGCTTCCACTGGCAACCTTGTCGGTGTATCGTAAGTTTTCATCTATTCAACTCATATCCAAGTTTTTAACTCAGGACTCGAACTGAAAAACATTGATCTTATTGTATAACTTACGTTGTTTGTCTTGGTCAGGAGCTATAAGTTATCAGAATACAAATTCAGGCTTTCCGTTGCTGTTGAGAAATTGACAACGCATCTTGGAAATTGCAGTGTGCAAATAGGTTGATAAATTATTTGTTTCCTGTTCTTTAAATCCTTTGGAGTTTGGAGACTGTTTAAGGTTGTCATAGTGGTATAATAAGAGTTTGTCTTTATTTGTTCAGGCAATGTACGAGATTACGTTATCATCAGGAACATCTATGACAGGCCTAAAGATATTGTAGACTTTTTGAAGGCTCTGATCTACCCTCAAAAAAAGGGGTCCGAGAATCCCAAGATATTTCAAGGGAGCAACCTAGTTACAAAGGTTAGTTCGTTACTTTTGTTGC